ACGCACTACTATGTCAGTGTGCATCTGTTGACGGCTCGAACCTATAGATCACACCGGTCAGCGGATGCTGCAAAGCATAGCGAGCAACAGTCTAGCGAGCGGCAATCCCTAGCCGCTTTCTCTCGCTCGGGGTGCTTCGAACCACATTGGGGCAGAGGGTGTTGGCGAATATTCGCTTCCTTTGATCTGACCAAGTTGTTTTTCTGGAAGCGAATAAACGGTTCACTCATATTAAAGTTGCAAAAATACCAAGGACACGTTTTGAGCAACGTGGCAATTTTGTGCACGCGATAATTGATCTGTGATGATCTGAGATGGTAGGACTTTGTGTGGATAGAATTGCATCATATTGGGAGTTAGCGATCTACAAATTGTTCTTCACTAATAAGTTCCCCCAATGAGCCAAACGAGACATGTTGAAAAGCACACATCTACTTTGTAATTAAACAAAGCAGTTCTCGTTTTCATCCGTAATCAAAATAATGGAAATTTCCAAGAACCAAGACTTCATAGTAAGAAAACAGTTTGTGTACAAATATTGGCAAACTCGTTGGGTCAATTTGTCCACGCGTAAAGTGTAATTGTTCATTGGCGTTCCTCACAATCCTCCAGGTTACCCAACATGGTTCTACCACGTCAAGACAAAACTACATATATTTGCGAGTTTTGAGGCGATAAATACGTCTTAGAAAAGTATCCAAAATGAACACCAACTACAGAATTGGTTTTGGCATAGTGTACATAAAGTACTAATGTTAATCTAAAGAGTAAAGAATTACGCTTATACCCCACTCATGAATTCTGAGTCATGCCATCAGCTAAGAAGGAAAATTAATAGATAGTATATCATTTAACACTCCCGCCAAGTATTAATAGGGAAGCTGCAGCAAGTTAATAAATATTACCACGAAATTGTGGGGACAAATTTCTGAAATCAATTGCATGCAAATTGTTACAGGCTACTCTAACAGAACTTTCTTTGTTTGATCGTAAATGTTTGATGCGATAGAATCTAGGGAGGAAATAAGTAAATGGAACTTAAAATGTGCATTAATATTAAGAAGAGATAGTTATTTTCACTCCCTTCCCACTTTCAGATCTCTTGCATTTTAACTCTTCACAGTGTTGTAGGAGTGATTTAGCATCATTTGGTTTGTCTCTATCCTTTTTATTTCCTGTACTTAGTTATTTCCTGAATATAGTGTTGGAAGACAATTTCGTCCAAAATTTGTATTCGCAAATATCAGAAAACTCTGGTTGTGGTTTCTCATTTCCTTCTAGGAAAAATATACGTAATTTTCGAAATAATATAAGGTTTATTTTTATTATTATTATTAATCTTTACATAAGTCTTTGAGATATCAAAAATTTGAAGCTTCCAAGGAACCACGTCTCAAATCACTTCAGACAAAACGTGAAAAACTTCAACCCTGTTTTGAACAATTTTTTTTGCATTTCTTGAAATTTCCGGAAGTGTAAACTTGTAATATTTATTTTGGAATTTTAGTAAAAATATCAAGACATTAATTAGGTTTAGACCTGGTTTACAATTTTTAGGAGAAAATAAGTAGGTACCAAAAGTTGGAATTAAAAAGTGAAAAATGTCAAAAATTTCATAAATATTTACTTCCTGGGATAGATTTGTTGGTGTTCTACAATACCATTTTCTGCGACAAAAACCAACGTATCTACAACGACACCAGCTGATACATTATAGATACAATATACAAATATTATTACTATTATTATTAATAATATTAAATAAAATTATTAATACCATGATACCAGGGGATACTTTTAAATATATTTTATTCCGTCTGTTAAATTTTTTAAGAAATTCGGTCATTTATAATAAACATTATTATACAATTCCAAGTATACCTTAAGTTATTTTCAAATTATGTAAACAGATTTCCATGATCCATGAAACGAAAGTGTCCATTGGAAAGTTTATTCACCTACTTTGTTCATAGTTGTTTAAGTTAAATTTACAAGTTGGCATAAACAGGTATAACTAAATTATTAGTTAAGAGGCCATAAGGCTCTTCGTTTGAAAAATTGACCTCCAGATTTTAAACGGAATCACCTTTGCCACCCAATTTGAGCTTCCTCAATAGTCAGGATAACTGAAAAAAAGGGACCAACTGGAACGTAACAGCAAAATTACATTCGTAACTGTTTCACATTACACTTAAACATAACAAGACGCTTCAGGAGAATTAATGTTACACAAAAGTTTTTGTTAGCAGATTCCCTAAGTATATTTCCATAAAAGAATACACCTGAATCTCTTTAGGATGTGCCAAGAGATGTCTGTTCCAAAATGGCCTCACTTCCTAGTTTGGTCAAAGGAGTTTCAAATGAATGTAGAATCACATATGGATGGATAATACATTATGAAATGCGCATTCACTCTCGTCACATTTGCAACTAAAATACAATAGCGAATTAAAATTTTTGATTTGGCGTCTTGTTAATAAATTTCCGGTCGTGGATTACGTCCTTTGGTACTGGATACATCTACTAGGGTAAATATCGTTCTCTCGAACACTACAATGTTGACTTTTATACTAACACTAATAATTAAAATCGAATTCACTTCAAATTTATTTTAGATGCAGTTTCATGAAAACGCGTTTCATGGCGCAACACTAATACAAACATTTAATATAATCTTGATCCCTTCCGGAATTATTATTCCCAAAGTTTTTTTCTCCGTCTCATCACAAAATATGAAATGTGTAATAATTTTACTTAGCATTATTAGTAGATTAATTTAATCTTAAATTCATTTCTTACATATTACTAAGATCCGTTACTAAGAAAGTAAATCAATTTTTTTCCTGTGAACTATAACAATTTTGTCTAATTAACAGTAGGTCAACAATTAATAATAAAGTTTTACTGATAAAAAAAAAATTCATGAAAGTATCAAAAGTTCAAGTGTTATCATAGTGTGATCATTGTGTAATCATTAAACAACGCCCACGGAAATATTAAGATAAAACATTCAATTTCTAGTAATAGCATGTTTAAGAGAATTTTAATGAATTCCCAGCAGTCTTAGTTTCCTTTTCTCCTGGGGCAGATGAAAACTTTTAGAATTGTAACATGCCCACTTATAACTGATGTAATTTCAACTATGTGCCCTGGATTAGGGATATTAGTTTACAAATAATAACTATTACACATTCCACATCTGTGTTGGGAGCGAATAATGAGGAATTTTTAACTGATTGTCATCGGAAAATGTTATCACTAAAAGAATGTCGCATTTTCTTGTAAGCAAAGCACGACTTCCTGAGAATAATGCATCCCCAGGGTGAAATGTGATACGAAGACCTGCTATGAAACCATGAATACAGAATCTCATACATCTCATAGAAAGTGATCTATACACAACCAATATTCAGGCCATCAGTGGCAGATAGTTAAGAGATAAAAGATCCTCGCCTACATTAACTCTCCCGTGGCTGGCTCCTGACACCCACAGAAAATTTGCGATTGAGATACCTGATCCAAAATCAAGATTTGTAAGTCTTTCGAAACGTGTTCGAAACGAGCCCATCCACCCACACTATTAACACTTATTTAAAATAGAAAGGTAGGTTTTTCACTCCTTTCCCAAAAGCGAAGCAGAAAGGCAGAATCACATCCGCGCCTCGGCAATTCCTCTCGTGGGATTAGCAATGCCACCACCCCACCCCGGGGTGGGGTCGTCGATTTGGGTGCAGCCTGACGTGACGTCACCATTCCGGCAGACGTTTGCGGATTGACACGGTGCCGCGAAATGCGGAAAAGTTTTCTTGGGCAGGCAGCTTGTCTCGCCGGTGTTCCAACGTGGCAACCACCACACACACGACCCGGGTGATGACGGGGGGTGGGAGGTGACAGGGGCCACATTGAGCAAGACAACTTCATTACCAGCTTCCGCCAACTGCAGGAGCGAGAACCTTTTGGTCGCAAAACAAATTTACACCCACGTCGGAAATCTTACATGCAAACAATATTGCCATTGGGGTATAACAATAAAAGGCATTTTCCTAACACTCAATTAATTAAATACTACCTGAAAAGAAATTATGCATTGTCATACAACTGAAAGGTGGATTATGACATTTCTAGAAGTTAGTCTACATATGCGCCTAAATAGAACACCGACATGCTGTTCACATGACATGATAAACCAAAGATTTCTAAACCCGTTTTAACATTCACCATGACTTCAAAATAAACGGGAAATTACAAGCTACCAATAATCGCTTTCATGATTTTAAATAACTAATTTTTTAACACAAAGAAAGATGCGCCATACGGTTCATATCCGAGCTCTGTAAAGAAAAACGGGATTCTGCCAACAAGTGCTTATCTTAAATTAATGCTTAAACGAATGCTAAAACCATTATTTAAAAAAAAAAATTAACAGCAACTGTCACGGATGTTTCTTCAATTTCTTGTTTCTTCTGTAAAAAACTGAAATAGATATTACACGTGCGACAAAATCGATATCTTCGCAATCCACATGAAAACTATACTGAAATATACGAAATATATCTAACAAAGACAATTATTTTAAATATTAATGTCCTTCACTGTAATTGACGTTTGAAGAAAAACACTGTAAAATAATAAATAGCATGATATCAACAATTTGAATGTGATATAAATATTACTACAAATTAAATAAAAATATATACAGCTTGATGACATTTATACTGGATCGAACTCACGACTTCGGAAGCACTCAGCAGCATTCACGGCTTTCTTGGCAGGCCAGAGATATACATAAAAAGTAGGGCTTGTTCAACCCTCAAGCAGCTGAAAATAACTGATCACTGAAAAAAAAAGCACTCGCACACACTGCAGATGAAACACCACATCCACATCACATCGCCACGAACAAAACAACACCTAGGACAACACTCGTTGTTTCTATGTAGTGTAGTAGCACCGCCACACATTATACTGGATTTATGATTTTTCTCTGCACCAAAACATACCGCTTGAAATGTTCTCGGATTCGATCCTCTCGGATATTCTCTGGTAAATTCCCGACCCACAAGTGACGAGTCTCTCTAACCATTTTGCGCCGGGTACTTCATGAGGAAACCGTTTTTTTCTCACGTAGCTTCTTCCATCGACAAAATTACGAAATACGAACACATAACAACAAATCTCTCGATTCCTTCACTACACATCACTTGCCCTAACCTTCTGCTTCGGCACACTAGTCTACGGAGAGTGACGTCATTCTGGCGGGATCAGAACGAAAACCTTACGAGGCTCGCCGGCTAGCCAAATAAGCCACATTGGCGGGAACCTACTTCCTGAGAGCGAGTCACGAGCTCGCGGGCGAGTCCATTCCACTCCGCCCGCGCGGAGCGTGGGGGAGCCCGGTGGAAAGTGGAGGGGGCGCCCGACAGCGCGCTCGGCCTGCTGGAGGGGCAAATAATATACAACAAAAACAACGCATGCATCTGGTGGATGGGCTCAACGAAATTACAGAGGGGACTCTAAAATTTCCGAGCTAAGAAGTAATGGAAATTATCACGCGAAATTTAATTCCATGTTCAGGATAAGTTAAGCTTACAGTTTCGCGGCTTTGTCCTTCTCTAAGTTTAAATATTTTGAAATTTGTATGCAAAATCATGGTAACTGATCGCTATTTCATACTTACAAACTTGGATAATGCAATAATAAAACACTAAATAGATGCGCATAATGACATTACATGTGAAAGCAAACCAAACTACTTGCAGTAGAAAAAATTGAATACGTGCAGGAACCATGATCAGCAACTGAAAGTAATAATTAAAAATCATAAAAGAAAATCAAAATAAGAGCGAAAAGAATATGAAGAGCTAATGAAACATGCAAAACAATATAATTTGATACAACACAAAAACACGCAGTTTTCTCCAGGCTACTGTAAAAGAATTAACAAAGCTTCCAATTGGCAGGGGGCAATATGTGTGGAATGTAATGCATTGCATTTATTGATGTAAATTTATTACAATTTCATGTTTAGGCCAAAGGACCTTCAGATAGAATCCAGACATTTGATACTTCACAATTACGTACTCCAAATTTAACACATTAACTGGACCTGGGCAGGTTCATTCAAATCCCACTCATACCGTACAGGCAGGGTTTTCACAGAGTTTATAAAACCATTCATCCACATTCTAATACACACCAACATTAAAGCGCATCCTTTTGCAGACAAGAATGGCCACATTCTGACAATGAAGCGAATATATACAAGCAAGAGGAAAATGGTGTTACAACAGCCAATGTTAGTTAATTCTCGTTAAATGCGGAATACTTAAAGCCTATACATCGAACACAACACAAAATGGCATTAACGAAACTTAAAAACGAGCTTCGAGACGCCATTCTGCACTGCCACGTTGGCAATTAAGCCATTAGGATTATTGATTTGTCTAAACACATCGAACATTTACACCACATGAATATATATATATATATAACATACATATAATTGGTTATCTAAAACGTGACTTCCTCGAAATCGACTATTCTCACGTTCTGTCGTGTGAGGTCCAAGCAGGAGCGGAGGCCACGTTTCTCCTTCCAATACTACAAAGTACCTGCCACGACGACGAGGCATGTGTTCACCACATTACGCGACAAAAACGTTGCATGTTCTGATCACAGTATAACCCAATTGTCCCACAAACCCTGCGCCACCATCGGCACGACGCTAGCGCGAAGGAAGATCAAGCTACGTGCCCAAGTCCAGTCAGTATGGCGAAGAAGAAAACCAACGCGTTCCTTCACTTGCTCACGAAGTAGAGCTGCTTCTCAATTTGAACACCAGATGAAGCTGCGATCTCCGATGAAACTATATTCCACATTTCTTCATTTAAAACTAGAGAACACAATAGTTATTTTACTGTAAAAATATGTGATTTGTATCTAATTATTTTTTAACTTGTTTTGTGTTTGTTTATGAAATGATTTAAATCTCAGTAGCCTGTAAATGACTTAAGCATAATCGACATGGAGCGACTGCCACTCCATCTAGGAGCAATATCTTAAAACACAGCGCAAAATCACTCAATTGCAGGTTTCGTTGTACTTACAAATACATGACGGTCATCTTATTAGTTAGAAAACATAATCATAGATTCTTATTAATACTGATGAGATATTCAGTCACTAAAGGTATTACATTTTATACTGCCAGCGTCTGTTTTTGTTTTTACAATTGTGCTTGCACGAATACCATTTCCTGAATGTTTTTAGAAAGCTATTTCCATATAATTACAAACACATACTGTAGTATTTAAGCATTTGTTCATTTCTTTAAAGGTGTCAATATTATTGCAATCTGGGAAATCCTCAGAACCTGGTTTTCACCTACATCTATGCAAATGATAAATCTCTAAATTGCAGGAATGGAGAATTGCATCTCTTGAAGAGAAAAATACAATGACTAACATAAGAAATGTCTGAAATTAAAAAAAAAAAAAAAAAAAAAAAAAAAAAAAAAAAAAAAAAAAAAAAAAAAACAAAAAACAAACAAACAACCCAAAATATCAAAAATTTGATTCATAGAAATTACTCATAAACCCTTTTGTACACAAAATAAAAACTTTTAATTTAATAATGGACTATTATTGGCTCATGTCACCATTTGAAAAAATTCAACAGAATTTGTTATATATTTTGATACTTTAACAAAAATACATTTTCAAATTTAAAAAACCTGGTTTTATTGAATTTCTTCTATTTCAATGAAATATTTCTCATTCTTTTTAAAATATAATGCTTATCACTCACAAATGATTTAAGTTATTTTCATCCATGATTGAATGTAATACTTTTTTCATCAATTTACCTGGAGAGTAGTGAAGTGAACTGAACGTGAAGACTATTTACTGTAAGAACAAGAAACCATGTTTGAGGATCTTGATTGTTCCAACTTCTTTTCAAGTAGATAGTTCAGCAATGTTCCTCTACATCTCCAAATATATTTAATTTCCTTGTTTTACAATTGTTTACATGATCATTGAATCATCTAGACCTATTGACAGAGATACAATGTGAAATAAATTCTGAGTATTAGTTAAATATTTTTCAAAACAAAATTAAAATTTTGTGTCATATATGTGTCATGGTTCAAAATGCACACTGATTTGATTTAAAATTTACATAAATTATGAATCATGAGTAGAATGGATAAGAATTAAACACAACTTTATTTTACTCATAAAATCAATGAAAATTGATAGCACAATCTTCTGTAATGTTAAAAGGACTGTTAAAAGTAAATCATAACAGTCCAAAGAATCCAATCATTATTTCTGAAATTTCACAAAAAAGAAAAGAGCAATAAATATTAAGTAAACTTAATTATTAATTTATTTGAATGTTTTTTACAAATGTTCCATAATAATTGTAATTCTTTTTTAATTAATTTAAACAACAGCAAATAAAACAGGTATAAATTAATTAATAATAGTTCTTTTTAAGAGATTTATTATTTCTTGTAGTTAAGTTACAGCTGTTATAAGCTAATTATATGCATAATAATTAGACATTACTTTACACAATTGTACATTGATTTATAGCTCTTATAAAGTAAATACAATGAATTCTAAACTATTATTTTTTTCCTACATAAAATGTATTTGTCAAATCTGGTGATCGCTTTGGCGACAATTAATTGATGACAATTAACAATAGAAAACGAGAAATAATGTGCTGTTGTGACTACTATTTTCTTTCCCCTATATGTAGAATTATATACTCTCATACACTAGGCGTAAACCAAATACTCATTTTTGTACCAAAAGTTTTTTCAAAATAGTGTTCTTAAAAAGTGTTTTTACTGTCTCGTATACGTACTTAGGAGTAATATACGGAGTAGAGAGAACGTTATGAATGCTGCGGAAAATCGATTTCATTATTTGAATGGAAATACACGTTTGGGGTCCACAGAACAATAAAGGGGGTTGGGGCCCCTGTTACCGAAAAAGTGTTGTTTTTTTTTATACGTCCGTCCGTCCATCTATTGTCTGCCTTTCTTTCGGTTTGCCCGTCTCTTGTCAGTTTGCGAACATCACTAGAGCCTAAACCATACGATATTTTTTTCCCCTTTCTTTTTTCTTTTCCGAAATGGATATTCCCAAGTAGCTCTGGCTCGACTAGAGACGCTGCGATTTTGAAAATCTTTCTTTAAAACTTGACAGTACTTTCAAGTAAAATGTATTCTCTATTGTTAGTTCTTTCAAGGTCATGTGATTTTTTTGAAAATTTTAGTAGTTTTCACGCACTATTGCGTGCATTATTGGGAATAATAAAAGTAGTCGTGCTAAAACAACACGTACTTTTTTTGCCAGTAGTAATTGTTATGTAACCACAATTTATTTTTACCTCAATTTCTCTCCGAATTAACATATCTCAATCATCATTCTTTTGTAAAACGTATAAGAAATCGTAGAACCTGTGGTGCAAAAATTAAATAGTTTCAAGCAATCGATTTTGTTTCAAAACTTTAAATGAAAATATATTTCGGGCAACATTAGTCACCTGGATATTACTTCTGGTTTTATTTTTCATATCATTCATTCAATTTCTTTCGTAGTCCCTATTTAGTGTGAAACATGTACACATTTCATTAATTTCATCCAGAAATTAAACAAAAACTACTCTTTTTTTTCAATGAATTGGGCTAATTTTCTTTGGATGAGCTAATTTTATTCACCAATCTGTGTGAAGCAAAAATCTCTATCTTCAATTTTGTAGTTTTAAAATCTTTTTTTTAATATTCAAAAAATCGAGTAATACCCGAAATATGACTATCATCATATTTTTTCGCCTGTTACTACATAAGTGAAGAAATTTCAAAGAAAAAAATTGGAGCGGTTTTTAAGAATTTTTTTTTATATTTCAATCGCAAAATATGTCAAAATTATTCTTTTTTTTATAATTATTGTACATGATCTTTTTTGAAGAGCTTATTTTGTGCAACAGAGGCTAGAGGCAAGAGGTTAATTTTTTGCAACAGACTTTGAGATAAATATCTCTATATCCAATTTTGAAGTTTTAAAAATTCTTCCGTCCCGATCCACTAAAACGCGCGCGAACGTCTGCATCCGGGATAATGGCTTGTTATTTTGCAGAGTTTTACGTTTACAACTTTTCAACATTTAAAAATTAATTCCGAAAGGTACATTATACTCAGAATACTGTAAATATATAAAAAATGTGTACTACATATTTAAATTACTACAATATATTGTCAATTACAGTAAATTGACCGTCATACAAATTTCTGAATAATAAATACTGTAATTAGTTGTAACCATATGTATAAACATGTTCAAATATAAAATGATATCAAAAATATGTCTAACACAAAGAAATGGAATTTCCTTAAAAACCACAATTTTTCAAACAAATCATCAGTTTGCGAATCATCCTAGTTGGCGAATATATAAAAGCTGCAAAGAAAAACAGTCATTCAAGTGGCGTGGATGAACATGTGTTTGAAATATTGCCCAACCCTACCCATTCCAAATCGTACCGCATTTGGGTGCAAAAACTAAATATTTTCAAGTAAATTTCAACACAAATTTAAAACTTATACCTTATTTTCAT